GGCCATATTTAACACTATAATTTTTCAGTTTTATTTTGTTAATAATTTAGTTTTCTGGGAAAAAATTGTCAAAATTTGCAATATACAAATTTTGCAACTGAAGATTTAATAATTATGCTCTTAAAATAGTGCACAGCATAATTATAACAAATATACAATTAAGAAATAGAGTACTTACCAAAGGTTTGAGAGACCTATGCTGAATTCATGTATAGTAAGTGGAAAATAAACACCAAGAGAGCCACCATTCAAAGTTGAAGAGGCATGACAGAATTCTGTGCTAAGTGTCTCCTGAAATCGTAATAACACAATTGCAGACGAACCACATTAAGGGTGGAGTTTAAACCTATGGCAAGCAAGTTTTAAAACTCCTGTAGGACTCGCTTGCCGTGAGTTCAAACCCCTACCCATTCCATGGTTTACTATGCAAAGTACTATAGAGCTAAGGCTCTCTTCAGAGACATGACAAAAACTAAAATACAAAGTTATGAGCAAGTGGTTGAAGCAAGGCAAAAATATTAGAGAGGGAGAAAAGGAAGAATTTCAGCAGCAAAGGCAGGGGTGTCAATAGGACGGATCTCTGGACTGTTTCATAAGTATGTCAAATATAATTTATTTGAATGAAACCATCATTGTCAAATCTGCTTAGCCTAGGATACCGTGGATACATGTATAATTTGCATCTAGTACTCAGTTAGCTGGTGTACATTCAATATCTAAAACCTGTGTATACAATAGTACCATACATGCCCTACTACTGTTTGTAAGTACTCGTGGATATCATATTTATTACCTAATCTGACTGGTTTCATCACAAATAAACATACTAAGGGGCAGAAAAGACCCAATACCAGTGTTATATCAAATAAAAACAAAAACTGTTCATAGTTTAACCCACCGAAGTGATTTATCATTTACCTGTAATCTGCATATAAAAAATATTCAAAAACACGTGATTAGGTATCGGTGAATATTTGGTGGCATTCGAAATTGCAGGTTAGAGAGATAACACTTTGAAGCCTGAGCAACTTTCAATTGCTAGTCAACTGGTCTTAAACTGGGGTAATTTTATATTTCAACCTCCAAATCTCGAAACCAACTGCAGTCAAGCAACCACGGAAGGCGATCAACTGACTGATTCTTAGGTTTAGAGCTGAGCATTTCTTACACCCATTTTAAATACGCATTCAAGCTCATCACGCACAATAACATTTATTCAAGTGATTCACCATCCAAAGACAATTAAAATTTTAATATAATTTTCCTAAACAAACTGGACACAAAAACTTTTTTGCAGTTTTGTTTCCTTCAGTGTTTATGAACTATGATGATAATTCTCCTCAGAAAAGCAATGTTTAAGCTTGTTGTATTCTCACTTTAGATACATAGTCCATAAGCACTCAAGATAAACAAAAACAAATGCAACAATAACACTGCTTATCACAGTTTAAACCTAAAGTCCTACTGAAGAGTTTGATGACAATATTAAACTGCCAATGAAAGTTAATTATGCAAATGCCAACTGAAAGTAGTTCAGAACATTAATCAGAGCAAATGAAAACTTAAACCACCTATTTTTCTATTAAACCAGAAATGGATTGGGGGTTTCTGAATACAGATATTTATTTATAATACAATACAATACCAATATGCTTGTATGACTACCCAACCCATTTGTGGTATGCATGAAAAAAGTTGTGGCCTTACAAGAATTCCCATTGGGAATAGTATGTATATTAATGTGATCAAGATGTATTCATAACCTTTTTTTTTCAAAAAGAGGTCTACAGTACCATATAAAAAAATGGTTTAGAGGATGACAATCTTTGGTTACATTTTATTAAACAATCGCAGTAGTTCAATATAAAAGTATCCATATACTCAGTGGTAAGAAATTATTTTGACAAACTGTACGTTACTAAATGTTATCTTTAAATTCAGAAAATCATTTTTGAAAAAAAAAAAAAAAAAAAAAAAGACAAACCTGCCCATTTAATAATGCAACAATGTTGAGGAGCACATTGTATTATCTATCCTTCTCAAAAGACCAATCACAAAATATCAGTCTAATAATGCGGTTTCAATAAAGTTGCTCCAATTTTCACACAGGTAAAAAGACTCGTGTACAACAAAGGTGACATTTTATCGTGGCAATGTTTCACTCTCCAGGAGCTTTGTCAAACAGTTACGGCTTGACAAAGCTCCTGAGAAGTTAAATGTTGCTACAATAAAATGTTGCACAAGTTGCACTTGTGTCCTTTTACCTAACATTGTCAGTAATTATTCTACTTCTATCAACAAACAGGATGTATCCCACCGAGGCAGGGTGGCCCAAAAAGAAAAACGAAAGTTTATCTTTTTAACTTTAGTAATACATACAGGAGAAGGGGTTACTAGCCTCTTGCTCCCTGTCAGTAATTCTACCAACATTATTACAATTTTCACATACACTGACAACCGAGAGGAAAACCCGTCAACACTGCTACCTTAGCCAAGTGCTTATTACAAGTGCTCATTATGACAAATATATGAAACATGGTATATAGCAAATAATAAGTCCGGTAGCCTCCCCATTCCTGGATTTTAAACTAACCAGGAATTTGGGTCTACGTATAAACTTGTCAAATTCAAACTTACAGGGGATATATATATAAAATAACGTTGATTCTACTTAGGATATTCATTCATTCTTTAATAGACATTGTTTTTTCTACATTGTACACATAAAGGACATTACTGGTAGAAAAGCACATTGACAAAATTAAATTCACTAAATGTCTAGACTAACTTCTACCACCTAGCCAAATCAAGTCTTAACCATATACCAGACTAGAATGGGCAATTTAATCCACAATTTCATAACAATATTGGCTTTTTAAGTTATGAAACATGTCACATTATATTTAAATGTGGCAATGAAACCTTCCCCTCTCTCTCCAGCATCAAAGGTGCATAGAAAAAAAAAATGTGTACAAGTTGGCACTGAGAATGATACTGCTTATGTTTTTGTAATATATTACATGTATGAATGTATTTAGCAGGTTGGTGGAAAATTCTGAAAACTTGCATACAATTCTATAAATGCACACTCCTGTAGCATTTATAGATATTCGTATGGTAATTATATATACATATCATGGTAAATAAATACTCTCAATATTTATTACAAACTTGGATTACACAGTTGAAAGATGCAGAAATGCATGGTGCATATATCAAGGAGCCAAACTCTTAAGCATTACAAAATTCTGCAGGTGAAATAGATATGCTGTAAACACCACCAGTTTTATATTTTTTATAATTACATAGCCCTATTTCATTATGGCATAAACTTAAAATTTTTAACGAGTATTTTATAACCTACTTTTCACCAACCTATAGATTACAAGGTCACACATCTCTAAGAGTCAAATGTCCTTTCAGAAAATTTCTTACAAAGAGGCATTAATCAGATCTAAGGTTTATGTTGTAGAACTAGCACTGAACTGTCCCTTGGACCTATTTTGAGTACCTAAGAACTGGACATTGACAGCTAGAGATTTTAGTTTCCTTGACAAATTTATATTCATATTTTCTGAACACAGTGGAACAATGACTAATATACATACCGAAGAAATTATTAAAAGTCCTAACCACGGTAATTAACCCCTACAAACATCAACATCATAGAAATCCTATAAAGGGAAATAATCAAGATGCCTTTGTACTCGTAAGCTTAGGACGATCTCCGCCTGTCAAGACTGCTACTCTCTTAGTGTTCTTTAAACGTCAGCGAGTCTTGCTGCAATGTCCACATACATACTTTCTTTTTACCTGTGTTACAGGGAAAATTTTCTTGGCAGACTAAAAATTATTTAAATAATTTTTTATAAATTTCCAATGTACATGTTTAGACAGTCAAATTCCCATAGTATATTAAACTAGCTACTATAAAATTTCAAAATCATATCTAAGTCTTACTGAAATTCTAGAAAAGGGGTTAACATTACTTGTTTCCTGCAGTAAAGGACACTGGAAGCTTGATCTCTTTCCTATATATATACAAAAAAGACTTAGAGCATTCATGTACAGAACACCAAGTTGTCAAAATTGCAACCTGGGGGAAATATTTCTGCACAGAACATGTGAGCATGGAAAAACTGACACAATCACACAAGATGCCAGGACTATCACTCTTCAGTCCACTCCTCGTTTGTCTCGTGTAACACATAATGGACCTCAAACCTTTTCTTTATGAGGGACTTTTTAATACTTTTGATCCTCTACTTCCCACCTAGGTTTCCTGTAGGCTAAGAACTAGTCTACAGTTTCTTCTTTGGCTATCAGCAGTATGAAGATTATGAGTGTAATAACACATGATAGTCTATAGTGAAGGCATCTTACTAAATCCCACCATTTTAAAACCTGGAAGTCCAATATACCCTACATCAGACGTTTAAGTGCAGGGAGAACTGCTGCGACAACATTCAACACGAAAATCAGGATAATCACATGAGAAAAAAAGGTTTCAACTTGTCCTCGCATCCTCTCCTCTCACAAAACTCAAAAACCTTTTTCATTTGCCCTTGATGCAAGTTAGGTTTGGACCGCAGATTTTTCTGTTTTAAACGTCCTTTAAAAAACTTGCTAGAAATTTTCAAGACAGAAAAGGAGTCTTTTGAAGATCGAAAGGCAAACTGCCAACCCCTACAAAGTTAAAATATATTTATAAGTAATAAAATTATATATATAAAAATATATATATAAATATATATATATATATATATAAAATATATATATAATATATATATATATATTATGGTATGTATATAATATGTAATTATAAATTTATATTATTTATATAATAGTATTAAATATTATGTTATTTTAATGTTTATTATAGTCTATATTTGGGTTTTCTGACATTATCCTCTCTCCCAGGCAGAAAATTTTTTAAAGCCCTTTTTAAAACCCTTTAATTGAAAAACAAACCGGGGTAAGTCCACAACTGTCCCAACAAAGTGTTGCTGCTTGTAAGTGGCTCCAGTGACTGAAAAAAAAGAAAGTATAATAAGTTTATTTTTTTTAAAAAATTAATTTTGCCTCTGTAAAATATTTTACCGGGTGTATAACTTGATTTTTTTTAAAAATTTTTATGTTAAAAAGGGGGGTTTTTAGCACTTATTGCAAGTTAAATTAAGATAACAATAATTTTAAAAAAGATGGTTATTCCAAAATTAAAAAGCACCACTGGAAAAGCAAAATTTAAAAATTAAAATTAAATACCACATTAAAAACATAACTACCCGACAATGTATACTGAAAGGAAAAGAATATCAGTACACATTACTATCACAATCATATAATATAGAAATCTCATTAGTGCATGCCCAAATTTAATGCATTTCATGAACCATGATGGGTTTTGTAACAAGTCTTAAATCTATGTTTAAAAGACCCATTGACCCCCAAATGCAGTTTTGGGGGAAAAAAAACAATCTATTTTCCTTGAAAACCTGATTGGGCCCCACACTGGGGGTTTTTTCCCCCCTTGGGGAAAGCATATTTTAGAAAAGTAAGTTTTGTAAAAAAAAAGAGTGGGTTTTTATTTATTTATAAAAATTTTAGAAAAGTTTGTTATTATTATCATACAATGTGGATAGAGGGAAAAGAAATGGTAATGAAAAGGTAATGTGAAATTTTTTATGTTGAAAATAAAATAATTTTAAATGTTAAGGTAGGGGTTTTTTGTGGAAGCCCACCACTGACAAAATCAACATTCCACCTTCAAGGGAAAAAAGAACGACCGAAAAGAAGACTAAAGAGGAAATTTGAAGAAACATACGAAGTCGAACTGGGCAGAAAACAAGGAAAAATGCTGCAGTTTTTGCCCAGAAAATAATAAAGAAGGCCCCTTTTTACTATAAAACTGAATAAACAGAAAGATAGAACTTTTTGCTTGTTCTGGGGAAATTTATTCCTTTATATTTATAGTAGTACGGGTGCATAAAATTTAAAACAATAAAAAGATCAGTGGGGACAAAATTATCTGCTGAACACACAGCTGCGAAATTTTTTTCCGAGATGGGAATTATTTTAGAAGGGAAAACCCCAGAGAAGTGTTTAATTCATGAATTGGATTATTTTTGGGAAAAAAGCCATCACAACATACTTTTGCAAAAAAGAGAAAAGAATAAGGTTATTCAAGTGAAAAAACATAAGAACATAAAACGAAGGGAAAACCCGCGAAGGCCTACTGCCCCATGCGAGGCAGGTCCCCAATCCCCACCGGGTTAAAACCAAGCACCCAACCAGTCGGTCAGCACATTTACTCAAGGGGGAACACGCAACCGCCCGTTTCACAAGCATCAGGTCTAACTCACACCCACCCACATCACTCATGTTTTATCCCACCTATTTTTTTAAAACACACAACGTTTTGGCCTCAAACGGGACTTTGGGGGTTTGTTCCACTATCCACAACTTTACCAAACCGTACTTCCCATATCCCCCGAATCTGAATTTTTTCCAACTTTAAAAACCCTTTCTGCATCCTTCACAGATATTACGCCACATTACATCCCCTTTATTTTTTCCCTTCTTCCCCTTATAAAACCCCAATCATACCCCCCTAATTCTCGTCTTTCTAGAGATGCGTTTTTAGGGGCCCCTTTGTCACCTCAAAGGGAAGGTTTCTGTACATGGGGTCATCTTTGTCATCCTCCTTTTACATTTTCCAGAGAATTTATTCCATTCGTAATAAAGGTGCCAAAAAGTGCCAAATCTAAATGGGCCAACCAAGAGTAAGATTGAAGAACAACCTAGGACTCCATTATTTTTTGCTTTTTGTATAAGCCAAGGATTCATTACTTTATTTTCGAACACTTATGCACGTTTCTTGGTTTTTAGTTACCTAACCAGAATCCTAAATCTTTTTTTGCAATCCGTAAAATTAAAATCTACATTATTTTGTTTATATTGGGATGGGTTTTTGCCTTCCAACATTTAGAACTTTGCATTTGTCTATATTAAAACTGCATCTGCCACTTTCTCCGACCACTGCATCAGTCTATTCAAATCTTCCTGGAGTGGCTCGAATGTCCTCGTCAGAATGAATTCGACGGCCTATTTTGGTGTCATCGGCAACTTGCCGATGTCGCCTTATGCCCTCATCTATGTCGTTTATGTAATTGTGAACAGCAGGGGGCCCAACACTGACCCTGTGGAACACCGCTCGTGACGCTTCCCCACTCTGATTTCTCCCCATTTATGCAAACTCTTCTGCTGCCTATTGTCAACCATGCCTCTATCCAGGAAAAAATTTCTCCTCCTATTCCATGTGCTTTAATTTTCCTCAATAGTCTCTGATGTGGGACCCTGTCAAAAGCCTTACTGAAGTCCAATACACATATCATATTCGTTACCATGATCTACCTCCTCAAATACCTTAGTGAAAAAAAGTTAATAAATTCGTAAGGCAGGAACGTCCTTTGTAAAACCATGCTGAGATTCGTTGATTAATTTATGCTTTTCAAGGTGGCTACGAACTGCCTCGGCAATTATTGATTCCATAAATTTTCCCACTATGGAGGTTAGGCTTATTGGTCTATAGTTCGAAGCTAAGGACCTGTCACCTGTTTTGAAATATAGGTATCACATTTGCCATTTTCCACTTATCTTGGCACCATGCCAGTTTGTAGTGATATGTTGAAAAGATTAGCCAAAGGTGTGCTAAGCTCCTCTTTACATTCCTTTAGAACCCTTGCATACAGTTCATCAGGGCCTGGGGATTTGTTAGGTTTTAATTTATCTATTTGCCTAAGGACCATGTCACTTGTGACCCAATAGTGCACAGTTTATTATCGTCCTGTTCTACATAATTTATCATTACTGGAATATCACTGGTATCCTCCTGTGTAAAAACTGAGAGGAAGTATGTGTTAAAAATTCTACACATTTCCTTATCACTGTCAGTGAGCTGACCCGAGGAACTTTTGAGTGGGCCTATCTTGTCCCTGATCTTACTTCTGTATACCTGAAAGAATCCTTTTGGGTTAGTCTTCGATTCTCTTGCAACTTTAACCTCATAATCTCTTTTTGCTTTTCTAATTCCCTTTTTTATTTCTCTCTTTAACTGAATATATCGATTTCTTAATTGCCCCTCTCCTCTTTTGATTTGCCTATATAATGCCTCTCTTTTGACCAATCAGATATTTTAATCTATTGTTCATCCATTTAGGATCATTTTTGTTTGATCTGATTTCCCTATTTGGAACATAATTTGACTGAGCAGCTAGAACTATGCCCTGGAAAGCATCATATCGGCAACCATCACCACCTACCTGACCCCTAGTCAGGTCATTCCAGTTCAGCCCACCTAAGTAATTTTTCAGTCCTATGAAATCAGCCAGCGAAAGTCAGGGACGGAGACTTGATTGCCATTATTAGGGGAATTCCATGATATGTTAAAACTGAGTGATTTGTGATCACTCTCCCCAAGCTCATCATTAACCTCAAGATTATTAATTAGTGTTTCCCTACTGGCAAGAACCAAGTCAAGGAGGTTATTCCCCTAGTTGGCTCTGTCACAAACTGTTTAAAAAACAATCCTGGATCGTATCAAGAAAGTCACCCGACTCTAAATTTCCTGTCAAATTGCTCCAATCAATCTGTCTATAGTTGAAATCTTCCCATTAGCACAACATTTTCGTATGTAGATGCCTTACGAATTTCGTCCCATAGAAGTTTACTGCACTCCCTATCAAGATTTGGGGCCCTGTAAATCACACCCAAAATTAGTTTTTTTTCTCGCCCTCGAGAGCTGTAACCAAACAGATTCAGTGGCTGACGCTTCTAATTTAATATCTTGTCTAACACAACAATTTAAATTGTCTCTGACATACATCGCTACTCCACCACCTTTCCTGTTGACCCTGTCAGTGTGGAATAATTTATAGCCTTGTATGTGACATTCAGATGGCATCTCTCTATCTTTCAGATTGAGCCAGGTCTCTGTTATAGCAATAATATCTATGTTTCCTGCACTTGCAATTAATCTTAGCTCATCTATCTTATTTCTAACACTCCTGCTCATAGTATAGTAACCTTAAGGGAGCTAGTCCTTGCTGCCCTCTGCTGTCCCCCTTTGTTTTCTGACCTGTTCTATTGTCTTTATTTTATAACTTCATGCTGAATGCCTTTTATACATTTACTGTTTCCAACCCTAGTGTTGCAACCTGCTTGTTTCCCACACACACCCATACCTCTATCTTCCATCAGTTTAAAATCATAGGCATTTCACCAATGGCCTTCTCAATCGAGTCTGCAAGTGCTACCACCCCTGCCCCAGAGAGATGAACCCCATCCCTTGCATACATATCATGTTTGCATAAAAGTTGTTCCAGTTGTCAATGAATGGGATTGCAAGTTCCTTGCAGTATCTGTCTAGCCAGCAATTTACACCAATTGCCCTAGACAACCATTCATTTCCTACTCCCCTTCTAGCAAGATGCTACATATGATTGGGATCCCTCCCTTAGACTTAATGAAATCTATAGCTGACCTGTACTTATCTAGCAGCTCTTCTCTCCTACCCTTCCCAATATCATTTCCACCAGCACTGAGACAGATAATGGGCTTGTTCCCATTACCTGACTGATATTATCCAGTCTGTTGACAATGTCCCCAACACCAGCTCCAGGGAAGCACACTCTATCTCTCATCTTCTTATTCCTATTACAAAAAGCACGGTCAACATATCTTACCTGAGAGTCACCAACCACAAGAATGCGCTTACCTTCATTAGCAGGGCAGTATACCCTTACCTTCACTGGCCACTGAAGTACATCATCCTGGAGAACAGAGAAGCGATTTCCTACCTTCAGATCTTCACTCTTAACTTTCCTTACTCTGATGCGCCTCCCATTACTGTGAACAACTCGCCACTTGTAGCAGGTGCTGGGCTGCACCTCACTGCTGGTACCCGTTGCTACCTCCCCACCTACAGCCTCCTCACAGTGAGAGACAGACTGCACCTCACTGCTAGAAGCC